AAAGGGGGAATAGATGTCTCTACTACGAGGCCCTCGCAGAGGGAAGAGTAAAATGAGACCAGGCTGTCGCTGCTTTCGTAATTGCAAAGGTGCTGCCTCAAAGGGGAGAAAACTTCCAACTTTCTCTGAAACACCTGAAAAAAGCAGCACACAAGGGCTCGTACTCTCCTTACGTGCAATCCATCTGCTAATGTCTAAAATTTATTAACCACAACTTTACACACCGCTGAAGAGAGATGCCTTTTTCTAAACGAGGGTCAAAGACAGACGCTTTGGAAACTCAGCAAGGCTCAACCGCAGGGAGATGGGGAAAGCGCAGGGAGACGGGACGGAGTCAACAAGCGTGGGGCGGGTTAGTTTCGCCTGTCGCTTTCCCGAGGGCACGGTCCCCGGCGGGCCGGGGAGGCTCGGCGCTCCCGGGCGGGAGGAGCGCTCTGGCGGCGAGCGGGGCCGGGCTGCCCGGGCTGTCCCCCGGGAGGGGCAGCGGGGCTCGCTCCCGGCCTCCTCGGGCTCCTGCCGGGCTGACTCCATACCGGGCTGCCAGGCTGGGCCTCTGCTGCTTCCCTCCGGGTGCGAGACCCACCATGGCCCGCCGGCCGACGGCGAGCGGGGCCCGCCCGCCAGCGCTGCCCTCGGCCGCTTTCACGCTGCGATACCGCACCGCTGAACACGGAACTGCGCCGGCAGCGCCGGCCCTGCGCCCGGTAAACTGCGCACCATCGCCCCCTGCTCCCTTGTCCCTCTTCTCTCCCTCTCCCTGCGGCGCAGAGTGAACAAACGCGCCGCCGTCTACCTGTGCAACACCTCCGCAACACATTTTATTTACACGGAATTAGCTCGGGGCATTGTACATTATATACAGATATTTTCCCCCTCCAACAAGGCAGATCTTGTGCAAGATTAGTAGCATCCTCTGGAGCGTATCCGACAGTCCACGGGAAATGTCCCCCCCACTTAGAAGTATCAGCTGTCAGAGTCCAAGTCACTTTTCCCGTCCTCTTGTCTCTTCTCCGGTGACGTTTTAGACGCTTTATTCCACTTTTGTGCGTTTTCTGATTCCTCCGAAGACGATCGCTTTTGCCTCCTCCACTTCGCCCGGCGGTTTTTGAACCAAACCTGTTACGTTAAGAAATTAAATTATTAGAGGGGAAAAAATGAAAATAAAACTATGCAAACCCGCAGCTGACCTCAGCCCCGCAGGAGCCCTGCCGGGCTCGGACGGAGGGAGGGAGGAGGGGAAAGCAGCCTCTCGGGTGGGATCGGCCGGGCGCCTTCGGGAGGCACAGCCGCCTGCCTACAATCCCTCACAGCCTGTGACAGGCTCGGCCGGCCACCCCAAGGAAGGGCACTTGGAAATAATAAAAACTTTCCCTCTGCCCCCGCAGAGCGGTCGCTCTCCCTCCGCTGGCAGAGTCGGGCTGAAGCCGCACCGCGATACATCCGGTTCGGGCGCGTTTGGGTGCCAACGGGAGAGGGCTGAAGAAGGGAAAAGAAAGCAAAGTACCTCCACTTTTTCCTCTCTTAAGTGCACCCTTCTGGCCAACTGTTCCCTTGTGCCCACGTCTGGGTATTTCGTTTCCTGGAAGAGGTTTTCCAGCGCTTCCAGCTGCTCGTCAGTGAAGATAGTCCTGTGCCGTCTTTTCCGCCTGCAGTGCAGCTGGTTCAGTAACTGCAGCTCCGTCCGGGACAAAGTGCCCACGTTCATGTAGGGCAACATCTGATGGGGAACAGGGGACATCAGGACTGACCCAGTGCCCTCGTAACCTACGGACAGACAGACGAGTCGACGATAGGCTTTGCATGAGATGGCCGCTTCCCCCCCACTCCTGTCCCGTCCAGTCCCGTCCCGAAAATGCCCCCTCCCTCCGCCCAGCCGCTCTCCTGCGGGCCGCCAGCTCCTCGCCACCCGCTCCGGCCCCGCGGCTGCGGGAACAAAGGGAGCCCGTCCGCCCCGTCCCACGCGGGGCCGCCTTACCTGCGGGGGGAACGCAGGAGCACTGCTGGGCGCCCAGGGGCGGCACGGCCCCGCAGCACGAAGGGCCCACGGGGGACGCCGGCACATGCAGCTGCCCGTAGTAGTAGTTGTTGTAGCCGAGCCGAGATCCAGTGACGGCCGGCGGCAGCGCGGAGGCGGGAGCCACCGCCCGGGAGTAAAATCCGCCGTAGTCGGAGGCGCTGCCGTAGAGCGAGTCCCCGTGGAGGCTGGGGAAGACGACGGGCGCGGCGCTCGGGGGCAGCAGCACCGAGTCCTTGCAGCGAGGTCTGGCCGCCAGGATATTGTCGATGCTGAACATGCTCACAGGCATGCCCCAAACCGTGCGGGGCAGGGCGGCGGGGACCGGCCGGGGGAGGGAGGGAGGAGG